GAATAAATATAGCTTTTAATTAGAGCTAATTTAACGATTGACCTATTGGTATCTACGAGTGACAATGTGAATTAGAAAGGGGTTGCGAAGTTTATGCGTGAGGGTATTCGTGTACTGACGATTAAGTATCATTTAAACCATACCAAAGCTCAGTAATTAACGATCATTACACGGAAATTCAAACTGCCCTAATCGCGGTTATACGATAATAGGAGAGCTTCACGCTTGTAATTCATTATCCATCGTATGTGCGTGGCATCATTATAATCTTCTCGATAAGTACGTGCTAGAAATTTTTCGTGAGCATTAGTGAAATGAAATTCCAAACAAATTTAAATAACAAAAGTATCGTGTTCTGTTAAACATTTAATAAAAAAAAATGACGATTAGAAATAAGAACATCCGTTTCTCCGGATAATTCCCGACGTAATTCGCGAGATTTGGCTATATCAAATCTCTGCTATACGTCTTCTCTTATTAGTCGGTGCCACGGCGCCGCAAATTGTCGTACATTTGCGAGGTGAATAATACGCAATACCGGAGATCCAAGTTGACAATTGATTCGCGCACGTATATGCAATCTCACGTCGCGAACATGCATTCAGGGGAATGGGATAGATCTTGTTTGCCTGCGTGTCAACGATACCTATTATTGTCGGTCCTTATTTGCATGGTCAATAACGTGAGGAAATCTGCTGCCGCCCCTTTCCGCCCAGGAATTGCGGAGAGGATTTACGCTATATTCGATGCCAAGGGGACCATCGCCGTACCGAGGGAGCTTTTCAGGGGCGCACCGATAAATCAGGGACTCGCGACACAACTGTGTATCGCCGTCCCAGTTTGCAATAGCGCACAAATCTGCCTTGAGAGAAGGAGAGAGAGAGAGAGAGAGAGAGATATCGATACAAAATTTCGCGGCATGCATTCTGTTAACAGCGGAATGCAATTCTCGAAGCTTTCATTTCCTCACTATGATGGCCCGCGTGAAATGCGATAACGTGGTCAAGAACCTTGGTAAATTGAATTAACAATTATAACCGTCGTGCAAATACAAATATAATTATATATATTGCGGTAGACTAAGCATTTCTCCAAGATAATAATAGACGCATTTGTCGATGTGATATAATATTTTGACGGAAAAAGAAAGAAAGAAAATAAAAGTATATTACGTATATTCAATTTGTAGTAAAACACTATATATTTTACTTATATTGCATATTATATTTATATTATAGATACTATATTAAACTATTTATTTTAAAATTATGATCAAATGTAAGAAAAAATAAATATAATTTTTTTTTTAAATTATTGTTCATTTTTTTATTAAAAGAATTGTTATTTATATAAGAATAGGGGATTTTTAATTACACAGACATAACACGAACTCTGTCTTGGCTCGAATAAGTCTCTTAATTGTTGCAATTAGATTAGCCGCTCTGCCATCTGGTACTTAATTACACTGCAATTAAATCAACTTCTATTATTGTACAGTCTACCATTCAAATTACCTTGATTTCTTTTGACTGCTGCTTTTACTAAAGCATTATTGGCATTAAAACGATGTCGTACAATTTATTATGTTTTGTATATGTGACAAATTGCAAACTATTAAAAAAAAAGCATATTTAAGATCAGATTTACGAATAAAGTAAACAAGTTACGGCTTGAAAGTATAATAAAAAAAAAATTGCATAACCTTTATTAAAAAAATATTTATAAAGTATAAATAATTTATTCTTTGCATATAATTAAACTTAAAATATTTGACAAATTTTAATCTAAAATTTTGCATTTAAAATTTATACGTACAGAACTTGTTATTATTTGGTAGAAGTGAATCTCGTTATACTTTCCCCGTTTATATTACAGTTTGGCGTTGCAACAAATTTACATTTACAAAGCGAGTTTTGAATAGCATAATATTGATAAGCTATAGTACTATAATTTATACGTGTCAACATTCACTGTGTTGTGCGGATTGCAAGGCATCACAAATAGGTCATAGGTTTATAGTGTATTTAAAAAAGAATTACTGATAGAAATTGCTGTCTACCGATAGTTTTTGAACCGCTTTCTCCTCTTGACAGATAATATCCTCCGATATTAATTGAATAATTGAATTTAGTATTAATTGAATTTAGTATTTACGATATTTAACATTCTATCTTAAGAGTACGCGACTTATGGCGTATTGCAGTCATATATATCCGCAGAGATACAAGATACAAAGGATTCTCGTATTTTGTGATCGTTCTCCGTATTTCATTGTTCCTTATCGTGACATTCTAACTATGAAATACGTCACCCGGGAGAATCGCTCTTGCTTATCGTTCTCTCTCTTCGAGAACTATATAGGTATGCAAGGACGTTAATTACGTTTGTACCGACAAGATATAATTCACTGTACAGAGATGAAATTTCATCATTCCGTTTAAACAGAAATTCTCATTATATTACTATGCAATCTCTAAAATATTTATTAGCCATTCAAATATAATTGATTTTTAATTTTTTTAAAGACGCATAATGGTAATATGTCTGTATGTAAATACATATATACACATCGTAGACACGATGTTATTAATTGATATTAGCTTAAAATGTTGAAACAAATTAGTTAAGATGAAAAATATAATTTGTGACAGAATTATTTAAAATTTCTATCACTTTACACTATACAGAGGATGATTTAATTAATTTACAATCAGAATCTTCAATTAATCTTCTACATACGCAGCAACGAATTTTATGTCAAGTGTATACCTAATGGTTTAATTATGAATTTCAATCGAGCGAGAGAAGGTAATTACGACGAGACAAAAAAGTCGCCTGTATCCGAGCTTAACACCTGGATAATTATAATACACCGATCCAATCGATATGGTAATTATAACACGAACCAGCAGGAAAATATCAGTTAAGCAGACTGTATTAGATTAATAGACAAAAATTATTGCATTATTGTCAATAATGACAGATTCTTCAATAATAACAGATTCTTCAATTTTGAAAATGTGCATAATATGACAGATTAATATAGCTTCGAATTTAAATATAGATATAATTGCTCAATTGATGCAAAATTTCTTATGTAAAAGATGCGTAGGTATTCGGTTTAAGTCTGCTTATTTACAACGTTCTTTTTTTCTTGTAACATTGCCGCATTCTTTAATAACTTTTATAAATAATATTCTAAAAAAGTATTGCATTGATAGAACTTCAACACTAAGCGTTTTACAAAATTCAATTGCGAAAGTAAATTTTGTTCAAAATTTGATAACTCTTATATCAAAAAAGAAATAATCTCTATGTGTGAGCTTCAAATTAATTCTGTCTTCTTTCATTATCTCACCGAAATATTTAGCGTAACAAAACCCATTTCACTAATTTTATACCGGAGATACAATTTTAGAAAATTATCCAGAAATGTATAATCTGTTTTTTTCAAATCTCTATTTTAGCCATATGTCACTTACTTAATTACAACGTAAATTTTCGTAAAATTAGAGCAAACCTACTTTATATAGCATAGTGGTTTCCATTTTCATATAAATTTGAGAGATTTACAGAATTATCCTCTTTTAAAATAATTCGATTGGTTTTAAAATAATTCATATTGCTAAATTAGACTTGGCAAGAAATCGAGAAATTGTAACTGAGTATATGATACTGTGACAATTATAATGAATAATTTATAAGGGAAACAGAATTATGGAAAATTCGTACAATTATCGTTGACTTTGATTAAATCCAAAGTGAAGGACGAAGGGAAACTATTCGTTTCTAGTTGCGACATTTCTTCGCGTTGTTGCACGAGCTATCTGTGCAACTGGCAGAATGTTGCAATCACGCGAGGGACAAGAGGAACATATCGGGCGAGCCGGAACTGTTGCTAATCGCCGCCGAAATCTCGAATTAATGGCACGAAAGCCGCGCGCGGAATTTGGGATTGGTGGTGCACAACGCCTAACCCGGCAAAAACGTTCGCCGTCTCGTCCACCATATACATCGCATACACATGGAAACGATAAATGCTACTGCGCTCTGGTGCATACGCCTCGATACGTTTTATGCAAATATCGCAGCTGCGCTGGTATATATATAGAGTTATCGGTAAATTCGCGCATGTCACTGCGCGAATCGCAACGGCGTCGAAAGTTCACGAGAGTCACCATTAAATTTTATTGGATATGCATCTTACAAAAATAAAAAATTTAGCAGACACGTTTTGGCGCTTGTTAAAATGTAAATATTGGCTTTTGCCCAAGAAATTTTTGTTAACTATCGCTAGATATATCTATATAAAAAATGAGAAATATTGATCAACCTCATATTTTATAATTTATAACAATTTTATAATTTAACAGAAATATTGATTTACATTTGATTTTATTATTTAACAGAATAACTTTATGATGTAAAGTAAATATGTTATATAATATTAATTATATATAATCATAATTTTATTGCACGCATAAGTTTGGTATTTAGTAAGATTGTGTCGAGTTATATAAAAGATAAAAAAAAATAAAGTATATGCGTAGAAGATAAAACGTCAATAACATTGGAAAATAAAATAGTATATAAAATAACAAAGGAAAGATAAGATATATATATAAAATAAACGAGAATTTATATGGAATGTAAAATAAAACCATGAGACTCGATTAATCGAGTTAAAATATTTGACTGCAGTAGTAGACATGGAATTTTACAAAATTGTTTCACAGAATGGACAGGATAATAAGATTTGCTAACAAGTTTCAGGAAATTAATTGAAAAAGAGTATAAAAAGTTAAGTGATTTGCAAATGTGACCATGCGCAAAAAAGAAATTAGACGTGATCCCGATGTTAACTATATTTACTTGCTTATTTCTCTTTTTCTCTCTCTCTCTTTCTCTCTCTCCCTTTCTCAAGTACGTTTGAAATTATAGACCTTAACGAAATATTTGATACGAATCAATGGTCATCTTTTACGACTCACTAGAATTAAAAGTTCTTATTTTCCACCGAGAAACTCGATAGAGAAACCGGAGCGCCATCCCCGTCTATTGATCGGTCACTGACTCCGCTCAACATGGCGGCGGGGGTGGTATTCGCGCTCAGCCTGATCCTCGTTGTCGGCCACCTCCAGGAAGGTCCAGGATCCCTCGCGAAGACCTTCACATTCCCGGAATACCCGTACAAGGAGACTACCAAGAACGTAAGTCGTCCATCTAATTCATTAAAGTCTTTTCTGACGAGTGGTACGTGTTGAACGCTGATATAGGTTATGGGGAGCTACCCTCATTTAGGGGTGGCAGTTTTACGACGCTAGGGACGGTAGCGTTAACGCTAAGCCGGCTTGGTGTACCGCGATTTTCGAGCTAAACAGATAAGAACGATTTTCGAGCCCGTTTTTTCACACGTGAACCACTAATTTGCTATAAAAATATCTTTGATCCTGTCTGTGTAAATAAAAAATAAATATATACGATTATACGATTATGGATGAATCCGAATTAATATAAAAAAAACTATTGTATCTTTGTCTATGAAAAAAAAATTAATTTAGAAACGTAATGAGAGAAACACACACATTCAGTAGCTATTATTTACGACCGAGGATGTAAAATTAGAGCAAAGTAGCAATTTAGTGAAGGAACCGAACGATCGATCTGGCATTAATTCGAGAGAGATTTGGCCAAAGGTCAAAGTGTATATGGATATACTCGAAAGCAATTACATGTGAATATTTGCATTTGGAGCAGTAGTACAAGTTCGTTATAATTTAATGTATATTTAGCGACCGAAAAATTCTTTTTTGTCAAGCTTGATCAGGAAGATACACTACAAAAATTACATTTAGAATCTCTTTGCAAAAAGATAAGAGAAAAAATACGTACTCATAAAAAAAATGCAGCAGAGAAATGTAACATAGAGAAATGTAACATAGTTAAAATAATTCGATCGCGACCTTTAACAAGGAAAAAACGGTAGAAAGATTTATTCAAGAGATTTCTTGATAAATTTAATTTTACTGGCAATTTATTGTTAGTGTCTTAAATGCCGAGCTTACTACCAGAAACGTCACAATCGTATCTTCTAGGAAAAGTGAAATAAAAGAAACGTATTTCTTCCTGTATCACGCTCGACAAACATCTCCTTCGCTCGCCGCGTACAATGCTTTTATTTGCGCGGAGAAAGGCAGACGTGGAGTTATTCGCGAAGGAAAATTAAAGGCGCACATACATGCTTGCCGCGCACTGGAAGTCGCATTGGCTCTAATTGGGGTTAATCTTTCGACATGCACAAATCAATTGTTGCATTCCGCTTTATCCCGCCGCGGCGTGGAACGCAAAGCGCCGTTTTATCAATACCGTCTAAATTAAAACGGAGAGCAACTTTTCCGTGTGCAAAAATAAACATTAATAAACGTTTATTTTCCCGGATTTAACCCGCAAAATCCATTTGCAACATTTTATGTCGAAATATAATCCACGCGCGCGATTTATTTCGCAGCAAAATGGAAAAGTCGAAAGCGGTTTATTTTCGGTACAGCTATAAAATCTCTTTTGTATTCAAACATTCATAACGGTTAGGGGATAAGGTCGAGCCGATATTGCAGTTACGATTAATCCGGTTAAATTCTGTCGCAGGAGCTTCTCTTCAGACAATTCGAGCAGGCATGCGAGGAGAGCGGCGCTTGCAAGATGCTATCGCAGCACAGGAGCGACAGCGTCGCCAAAACACGATGCATCCGGGAATGCGTGTCGCCGTCCTGCTACAAGGAGATCTATTTATTCGATCAGGTACAGGTATATGCGGAATACCAATTCCGTTAATTGCGTTTGGTTACTATGTCGCTTTACATGCTCCACATCCAGGGTATACGTATACGTATCCGCTCGTATATACAATTTCACTCGCGCGGATCGCAACGGTAACAAACGATGAACGCATTTCAGTTGGAGGAGGGCGAGATCGACGTGAGATTAAATTCCTTCAAGGGTTGCTTCATGCAGCGAAACGGGCGACCACGGAAGTAAGAAGAACGGGAAGAGACGTATAGGGATGAACGAATTTCTAATCGCGAGATGAACTACTAACGGACGAGCCGCTCGTCCGTCGAGGCGATTGCAGTCGTGCAACGAAGAACATTGCGAACTTGCGATAATAATACGCCGTTCCAACAGGAGCCCTTCTTGCTTAGACTCCATGCTGTCCCGAAAGGATTAAATTGATGATGTAATGTGACCGCTGCATGATATGCATGATGGAGAAGCACAAAAATAAAAGTCGGAGACGAAAACGCATATCATGCACAAAGATAAGTTGAACAATGCATATCGTGCAGTCTCGTGGAGATGAAGCAAATTCTCTCTGGGGAATTAAGTCCGAGAACAATCTTTTTCTACTTTTTGTACGCACATATTAACTATAACATATTAATATATTATCTACGACGTTATTGCAATGTTGATAATAATACTGCACAAAGTAAACAAATAAAACTGTTGGCTGCACCAGTGATTTCAGTCACCTTATCGCTTTTATAATATATATATAAGTATATATATATTGCTATATACTTAAAACTAGCCATTTCTTGAATAATATAATTCCAGTATACGATAACATGCAAGTAACTCGAATTTTATTGTATAGCAAACAAGCGATAGTATTTAAAATTATAAATATTTTATCCTTAAAGGAAAAGAACTTGAAATGACCAACTTTTTATAGTAAGTAAATTGCGTAAAGTTAAATTATTGAATAGAAAATTTGGTATCTCGAAGATAAAGAACATGTTTCACAACTTCTTCCTTAATATATATTACTTATACTGTGATATAATATAACATAATTTACAAGGTTGTTATTATTCACTGAAACTGTTACAGTTGAAACAAAAATATGAAAATGTAAAAAATATATGAGACAATGTATTGATTAGTTTTGCAAAATGCGTAATTTGTTTTACAATTTCCACACCAAATATTTATCGCGCATCGCAAATCCGATAAGCGTCTTTGTTCTTCTTTTTTAAATTTTTATTATTAAAAAAAAAGATTACGGAATATTCTTTCAAATAATTTAAAACTTGATTAGAAAGAGTCTTGTACTGCGATTCTATAATACAAAATTAACACTCGCATAGAAATTAATCGGAACAAGCAAGAACTATTGCCAGAAGTATCGCCATTATTTTTTCCGAAACGGCTGGAGGAAAAAATCAGGATTACGCGATTAATTAATGAATAAATCCTTCCACGACCCCCGGCGATTATAATCAGCGGTCCTCTTCTTTCCCAGGCAACAAGCCAATGCCGTCAATATGATGACAAATAACGTTAGCTTGCTACCTGGGTAACATATATTTTTTTAACATTTATGTATAATTTTTTATATAATGTATTTTGATAGCGCATCTATACTTGATTTCAATAATATACGATTTAAATGATCTATTAATAAAAGCATACAAATGATTGTCTTCCAGGCTTTATTTTTTTAAATATGAACCTTAATAAATAGAGCAAGAAATTGCGATTTTATCGCGTCCAGAATGAATAATTGCAGGCCGACGATTTAATTATTGTATATCAAAACCCCTCAGCCGAGTGTACGCTAATTTCCGAAGAAGAGAAATCTTCATGAGAGCAAATAATTTAATATGATTTAATATAATTTAATATGCTCTAATTCTACATTGAATTTCGCAAGGTCCGCAAAAAAAAGTTAAGCAATCTATTAAATGCCAGCAGTTCTTGTTGCAGAAGGGAATCCTGAATCTTCTAGATCGCTTCCGATAGTAACGATTTTGGCAGTGACAGTTACATCATTGGTATCGCATCTTGAATACGTAAATTTGCACACAAAAAAATGTTCTTTCCCTCTATTGAAAAATCATCTCCTTTTTTTGAAAAATGGATGGATAAAATAATTCTTACGGAGTAATAATTACGAAATTATATATTTAATAATAAATTTGGTAAAATAATTGTCTTTGCCAAACTAAATCTATCTGAATTAAGATCTTAAAAAAATGAGTTACTTATTAATTATTTTAATAGTTTAAACAAATTCAGATTGCAGCAATAACAAGTGCGGAAATAATCGCCAATCAGGTTGCACGAAATTTAACTGCAAGATTTTATCAAAATTCTAAATGACATTTTAATTGAACTGATGCAATAAATTATTTATATTGCCATAAATAATTAATACATTACGTGGTCTATAAGAAATTGTAATGAGGTATATTAACTATCGTAGTACCACGCGTAAGAAAGATGTGTTAAAATAAGCCAATACATTCACGTAAGATAATTTCTCATCAAGTATTAAGTGTACATATTAAATTATGTATATAATATGTAATACCTATATATGTATGTATGTATATTATATATATATATATATTTATAACAATAATATACATATTTATATTATAAAATAATTAAATCTTATGATCACATTTATTTTAACATATTTTACTTTTACCTATCTTGTAATATTAATCAATAAAAAAATTCTGATATGTATTTAGCGTATTACGTATACTATTACAGTAGCTGTATTATGTATACTATATGATGTAATTTATAATAAACTTATAATAAATTTGTAATAAACTTGTATATAATAAACTTTTCGAGTTTCGGCGAACACTTTTTACACATATACATCTTTCTATGTAAATGATAATATTGTTTTTATACAATTATCATATGATAAGTTACACATTGGACATCTTCTATACATTAAATTGTTAGCGCAATCTTCACATGAACATAGATGTCCACATGGTACATAGACGTAACACGCTTTTTTAATCAAACATATAACACAGATGCCTTCTAATCGTGACTTTCTATCATTATCATCAATTGGTACTTCAGAAATATCTTCATCTACAACAGTAAAGTTTGTAGTATTTATATTATTAATTTATAAATATATTTTAAATATTAATATATGTGTTATGTGTGATAAAAAATAATTATAAAGAATAAATAAGAATATGAAAATTTAAAACAAAATTTTATTTTGATTCTTAAAAAAACTGCATTTATACAAAATAGCTAAATATTATACCAGCAGAAAAGTTGTCATATTTTGCATTAAAATTAAGATACCAATAATAGAGATACCATTAATTAAAAATTAATAATATACTTTAAAGTAAAATCATTTTAGTATATTGACTTTTAAAAGATCAATTAAAATAAGTTACTTTTTAAATTATAAATCATATTATACCTGTTTGTTCATCCCTCTGTCTCTGATCTGGTGTGGAAGATCGGGCGCGCTTGGAATTTGTATTAACACGTCTTTGATTTACACGTTTTACATTCTGATGTTCAGCTCCAGCTAACAAATAAAAAAATAGTATTTTATTATTCATTAGTAATAATATTCGCAATAATTTCGTAATAAATAGTAATTAAATGTAGTAACATAGGCCAACATTAATAGTCGATGATTAGTTCAACGTTATCTTAAGTAAGGTAAGGTGTTAATACGGCTTGATGATTTATAATATCTTAAGATAGTACGTATTTAAGACAGTTTTAAACATATACATATTAAAAAAGAATTGGTTATGAATATCAGCTTTATATAGATTTTTTGTTATTTTTTAAGTATTTTTTGCCATTTTTGCTGTATTATATTCAATAATTATCTTAAAAAGATTAATTATTAATATAATTCAAAATCAAATTCAACAGTTATTTTAATTAAAAAGTGAATAAGAACTAATTACTTATCCTATCTAAAAAAGACATGTTAAATCAATACATACATGTTACAATATCTTCTTTATTATCCATCGGTTTTTGTTCTTGTGTATCTCTCTCTTCCTGTCCACTTTTCTCTCTCTCCGATTTGATCCTTTGGCGAGAAAGAAAGGATCTCATACGGTTGTATGAAACATGTGCTGCAGCTGCTGGGTTACTGCGGCAGACCGTGTCAAAAATTTCTTTCAAAGGTATGGTTGTTTCTTGTGTTAAACTAACCATTTCTTTTTTCATGTTAAAAATTTGGACAATATAAGGCTCTTCCAAATGATTATGGAAATGTTCCAATATATAAAATTCTCCTTCTTTTCGCAATCGTCCAGAGCATTTTTTAGTCTTACGTTTAGAACAACGATATAGATATGAATATCTATGATCCACATTGTATGTGTAATTATTATAGACGTACAATGTAGATCCAGGTTTTTTGCCTTCTATTATTTCCATCTGAAAATATAACAAATATTAATATAATAAATATAATATAATATACGTTTTATAAAGTAAAAACAATAAAGTAAAGACATAAAGTAAAATAAAAATGATTAAAATAAAAACAACGTTATACTTCACAATATAGGGTAAGTGTCCCTATTAGTGTGCCTTTAAGAAAATTTGTTTATTACTGAATTAATTACTAAATACTATAGCTTTCAATTTGTCTGTTTAAAGTTACTATCGATTTTTCAAATATTTCTTTTTCTAATGAAATTTTTTTTATGTAAAAAAGATCGGAAGAGCACACGT